TTCAGTAGTTGACCACAACCAGGTCTCAGTCAGTCACCCATCTCCTCTTGCATCCTGGCCATGAATATTCTTGGAGCAGCGACTGATGTCTCTGTCTGTGTCATTTATGACACTGCCAGCCAGAATGGGTGTTTTGAAAACACCTACTTTCTCCAAGCTTGAAACTCGGTATCCCTGCTTGCAAGGAGAGTGGCAAAGGGAAAACACTTTTAGGACTTAGCAGCAACTTAACGAAACATTAAGTGCGTACTGATTTAAGAGACGCATTGGGGTGGGGATGAGGAAGGCACCTTAGAGTTAAGTAAGTTTGTCCAGTCCTGGAAAGCAGTGCCGAGAGGGGAATTTGCTTTTTTTTTCTGTTTTTTATATTCATTTGGAGACTAGCAGCACTGTTATGCCAAGGCTCCATGACCCTACCATCCATCAGAAAGTCTGTCTGTCTGTGGCCCTGGAAAAACATTTTTTTTTCAGGCCTTCTTTTAGTTGTATTTTCTTATAGAAGAAAAAAAAAATAAATCACAAGAGAGCACAAACCCTAGTGATTTTATTTTCTGCCTGGATAAATGGTCCTTTGCTTTTACTGGTTTCTGTCTCCCTTTTAAACCAGCATTTGCCCAGTGTTCTAGCTAACTTTTCCAGGAGCTCCGAGATGTTACTATTTCCCTTTGGTCTTGCTTCTATCCACTATGCTACTTAAAATTCTACACCACACTCCCAAAGCCAGACTTGATTTCCCAACCCAAGATATTCACTTGGCTTCTCAAAACAGCCTTTCCCTTTCCTTGGCTTTTTTATTTCCCCATGTATTTTCTCACCTTGTTCCACCCACTCTTGGGGACAAGCAGACAGCTCAAAGCTAAGGATGTCTCTCAAGCAAGAAGCCTCTCTAAAGGCATTCCAGATTTTTCACATTTGTCGGTGCAGCACATGTTCCCAGAGTCACCTGTTTGCAATTCAACACTCTGTGGACCCATGGACAGGACTTAAATGATGAAGCCCAGGCTCTTTCACCTACAAAATATACATATTTAGGGACATTTAAAAAGACCAGATGGGCAAGTTTTGTGGGAGACAGGATGGACATGTCTGGCAGATCATTGTGTGTCTTCCCTTAGCTACGTTTCAGCTTTCATCTTGTAACCAAACAGATTGGGGTAGAAGGAAAAGTAATGGCTGGAGAAGACAAGACAGGTCACTGGTGAGCCCATAAGGCTGGAGCCACATTTACTGCCCACAGTTTGCAGCCCTGCATGTGATTGCCATCTGTACCATGCACCAAAATAGCACCTTCACCTCCAGGAAAGCATCGTTTCAGTGACACTCTTGGTTGACTGAGTTGGTGCTCACAATTTTAATTTTTAGGGAGCAGGATCCACCTGGGACAGGCAAGACCCCATGGCCCCTTCTCAGCCATGTTCAGACCGACATTCCTCCCAGCTCCCTTTCACAAGCCCCTTGAGAAAACTGCTGATGGAGGAGGAGTGGTGGAAAGGTCTATCTGGGCATGCTGGGAATTAGTCCTGGTTTGCCCCAGAGCTGAGTGAGACCTGCTGGTGTTCCCAGGCAGCCTCTTAGCAGAGGCAGGACAATAGGAAGTATCTCTCCTGGAAATGGAGAAGGAACATGAACTTATTTCTCTTTGCCTCCAAACAGTCTCCACTCTCAGATTTATGGCACTTCGTGGCAGTTTCCCCCCAGATCTGCTCTTCTCCCCTCACATGCAGCAGGGCCACCTCAGAGACAGTCTTCCTACAGGGAAGAGTACCATCACCCGTGTTGATAGACAAGCTCCACTTCTGGTCCAGGGAAGGTGCTTCAGGAAATGAGGTCTCAGGGTGTTCAACAGGAACTCAGCATAGCTGCTTTCCCTCTTCCCCTCCAAAACTGTCATGCCAAAAATGGATGCAGCAGTTTCCATCATGTCTTCACACACAAAACAACCTCCTCCTTCCCCCCCAACAAACCTCCATCCAGCATCAATAGGCCAAGGGGCATAAAGCAGCAGCAGCAGCTGGTGAGACGTCACGCTGCAGGACTGCAGCTTATCCTGCTCTTCTGAGCAATTGTTCACAACGAACTTTGACAAAAGGACCTTTTTCCAAGGCAGTCACTGCATCTGATGGGGCTAACAATGAAGCAGTCAGACAGCCTGAACCTTGGTCTTAGCCACTTGACATCTTCTGGGAACACATTTCCTTGCCTCTCATAGATAACTTATTCCCAACCATGTGGCACCAAGGCTCGGTGTTAGGCTCGGTTCCTGAGCTTGCCTCGCTGTCGTGACCATACAAAGAGGTGGCAAAAGGGACAGGGTGGTGGTGCTGGGGAGGAGGGGAAGAAGGAGAGAAGGAAGGAAAGGAGGATGTAGCTGCTGTGCAGAGTGATACCAGGAGAATATCACTGACCATGGGAACAGAGTGTCTGTGGGTGATCTGACAGTGTAAAAGTCTGTGACATTGGCCAAAAGAGAAATGAGAGCAGGAGAGTGAGAGAGAAGGGTGGACAACTGATGCAGTGCCAGGAAGCCACAAGAGCAAGAAGCCAAACCAGGTAAAAGACAGGCAGCCTCAGGGAATGTTTTTCTTTTCTTTTGGGCCTTGGGAAGGCCGAAGACAGTGGGCCACTGGTAGCCATTGCTTGTTCTCCCCTTGTACAGAATCTTCAGTCCTTTTATCCAAAGCAGCCTGTATACAAAGGGAGCCAGGCCAGGGCTAGCAACCTTTCACCTAATTTTTTTCAATTCCAAACGTGGAACTAAACAGGCAGACGAGGAAAACTAGATGTCCTCTCTCACAGCAACAAGATCCTGCTATTGAGGACCAGGTATGCTGTTCCTGTGTGCAGACTCTTGGCACCTTGTCCCTGACCATATTTGGTGTCCATCCTGAGAGCTGCTAGTGCCTGTTCAGTGGCAGTCTGTCCAGCCTCCATTGGCACGAGTCTGTCCCACTAGCCCAGATCTCTCTAACACACAGAGGGAAGGTTACATCCTTACTCCCACATGGTTACTGCCACTCACCATCTCCCACCCCAAGCTTGCACTGCTCTTTACATAAGCACAGAATAAACCCATGACCACTGCTGCCACCACAAACCTCCTTGTAGCAGCATCCCCTTCCACTGTCTGAAACCATAAACCAGGTCATGCCAGAGCCATGGATGGGAGGTAGAGAATGGCAAGAGAGAAAGGGGATGAAGAGAGGATGCGAAATCTTCCCCTTCCAGTAGCTGACCATAACCAGGTCTCAGTCAGAGTCACCCATCTCCCCTTGCATCCTGGCCATGAATACTACTCTGGCCATGGGAAAGGAGCCAAGATCCTTCCTCCACCTCCTTTTCCCCCATCTGCATTCCCTTCCAGCCAAGCACCACATCCGAGCAGGCTATTTTTGTGCCGGTGGTTGTTGTCTTTCCAAAATTGCCTTGACAATGTCTGTGGCTCCTGCTCCCTGCCTCCTGAGAGCAGCTGCCAAGATGAGGGTTCCCCCTCATCCTCGACTCACCACAGGAGAAAAAAAAACAACCCAGAAAGGTTTTGTGTTCTCAGCCCAGTCTGGACAGATTCGGTGTCTGACTCAGCCTTTCCCCAGGTCAGGATTATTTCCTGCTTGAGGGTGATAGACTAGAGGGAGGATGCTTCTGTATCTCCCTTGCTGTCCCCACCATCCCCTGTCGCTGCCTGTCAGGCCTTTATCCTCATTGAGATGCAAGGCTGGCCGCAGAGGCCATCCACTGAGCCGTCTGCTCCTGAAGGCACCTTCCCCTCCTTCCCCCCCTTCTCCCGGGGCTGCCTGTGGAGCTATTCTTCAGCCTCTGCATTTCACAACAGCTCAAAGGCAGATGCATCAATCCTTTCAGGGGATGGGGACGTGAGGAGAATGGCAAGGGGGCTGCAGAAAGGTGTTGGTAGGTTCCCAGCCATCTCACAAGCCTTGTCCTCCTGCTGGCTTGTGCCTGAGGATTGAACTGATGCATGGGGCAGGGATGGAGAAGGGAAGAGGATGGGAAGGAGGAACGCTGGGATATGCTGACCCCATAGGCATGCCCAGCTAGGATGCACACTGCAGCCTTTTCCCCATGTGGGGAGCAGGGATCCAACTCTGTCCACTAAAAGTTTACACCAGGGACCAGTTTGGCCCTGGTGCAGACAGCCGAGGCAGGGGGAACAACCCCATGGCTGCTAGCAAATATGAAGGGTGGAGAGAAAAATGAGGGGTAGGGACAGGGGGTTGTTCCTCCCAAAGTCGCTGCCTGTGATGGGTGCCCTGGGCGAACAGCACTTCTGTCTCACACGCTGAAATGGGTTGGGGATGACTGAGGACTGGGTCGCCAGGACCCGCCTCGACTCCCTCATGCAGCCGCTTTGGTCCCGCTGCTCTCCCGGCCCTGGCGCTGGACAGGAGGAAGGTCTGGGTCCAGCCGGCTTGCCATCTGCAGGAGGGCAGCTGGTTCCTGGTGTGTGTTTTACCCGTAGGTGCCACAATCCTTTGACTGTGTGTTCGAAAGCCTTGAGTCTATACATTTAAGAATCAGCAAATTAGAAAAAATTGTCCTGCAATGTTGGAGGGAAGAAAAAGGCAGGAAGGCAGAGAGGGATGGGGAAGGACTTAGAGAGCGGGAGGAAAGGGGTTTGGTAAAAGAGAGTTCATCCAGGGGCACTGCCCTGGCTTTGTGCCCATCACCTGCGGGCTGGGAAGGAGAGAGGAAGGCAAGGACGAAAAGGAAGGACTGATTTCACATATTCAGTGCATATCATACAACCAGGGCAAGGCTTTCCTCCTGGGCCTCCTACCCAGGATGGCACCACTGCCATAGCCAGTCTAGAGCCCTGCCCATCAGCAAGAACCATACTCACAGCAGGGTTACAATTCACTGCTTCATTGTTTGGGGGAAAGATACCTTCTCCTTTCTTTCTGTTTTGTTTTTTTCTTTTTTTTTTTTTAATTATATATATCTTTTTAAGTACTTTTTTCTCCCTTTGTTTCTTTAATTTTTAAAGTCTTATAATTTTCTGTAACAGCAGCTTCTTTCTGTATTGGTGTGGAAGTTATATATAGAGAGATATCTATAAATATATATATAAGCCAAACTGCCTTACAGGTTGTTGTTTTGTGGGATTTTTTGTTGGTTTGCTTTTTGTTTTGTTTTTTTTTTCAGTGTTGTATGTGTAGCAGGCACTTGAGTTTATATGAAGATGTTTGCGTGGGAGCTGAGGGGCAAAGGACTTGGGAGGAGGAGAGGGAAGGAAGGGAGGAAGGAAGGAGCAGGGACTTTCAACAAGTGGCCACTGCTAGCCAAGGATGTCCAGGTAGATTGGTGTGGCCTTGCCCAGAGCATGAAGGATTTTGTAGATCTCCTTGATGTTGAGCCTTTGCTGAGGTTCTCTCTGCCAGCAGCCCAACATGATGTCATAAACCTCCTTGGGGCAGACTCGAGGCCTTTCCAAAACTCGGCCTTGGGTAATGCATTCAATGACCTGCAAGAAAGAAAAGAGACATTGAACACCAGTTGGGTAGTTCCTGGAGGATGTTCTGTACCAGCTACTTCTTGGTTGATGTGGTACCTTGAATGGGAGCGCTGAGAAGCTAAGAGGTCTGCAGATCCTCAGCACTCACCTGTTTGTGTGTTGTTAGTGATAATTTTTGCAGTGAAAATTTTGTCTCCAGCTGCAGTCTTGCAGTTCCCAAAAACCTTCCCCCATTGACACCTAACTACCTCAAGGCATTCTCTAAACAGGAAGACACAAGTCAATGAAACAAAGTTTTAATTTATCATGTCAGTTTTTCCTGCTAATTGAAGAAGGAAAATAAAACCTTAAAACCTCCAAACTAAAGTAACATTTTGCACAGCTGAGATTATATTTTTCTTCACTGAAAATCAAGAGTCCTTTCCATTGCAAAGTTCAGGAGAGTTCTACCAGGGAGAGTACAGAGCACCTCCATCTCCAAGGGCAGATTTGCCTCATTTTGACATATAAAAGCATTTAGAAGAATGAAATTTTATCTCAAATCACATCTGTGATGGAAAGAAAAGAATTGCAGTGCTAGCACTCTGTTCTGGGTCAGGTCAGTGCTGCTAATGAGAGAAATGTGAGTTCCTGGACAGCATTAAAGTTTCTTCAGAGGGATGCCATGGGAAAGGACACCCCTAAGTGTTTGTGTTTTGCTCACCAGAGGAATGGATGCAAATGGAACAGGGGTACAGTTTATTAGAGAGCTGCTATTATCATCTGGCCTCCTTGGTTGGAGTTGATGAATCCCAGCAATGCAGTGTGCAAGTGACCTGCCACGCTCTGCAGATAAACACAGATCCCAAGCAGTGCATTGAGGGAAGCCGCCCAGCAAGGGGTCTTTGGAATTTATCATTTAGGAATACTAATGGGCCTGCCACACAGCTCAAGGGATACTTATCGCTTTGCTGTTTGCATATAAATACAGCGGAGAGAGATTAGGACCTGCTGAAAGCTGAGGGAGGAAGAGGCAGCATGCAGAGAAGCCTGCATCACCATAAAGCTGCTGGCAGTGGTGACCTGTGGGAGGAGGTGAGTTATGGTTTCCGACAGGACATCCTGGGCATGCACAGAAGCCATGTGTTGGGCCTTTTCTCTCCAGGACAAAGGAAGGGCATAGACAGAAGTTAATGGACTGGCTGAAGCTCTCAGATGAGGTGGTGCCCTGCCTTATCCCTCTGCTCAGTCAAAGTCTCTTCCAGCTTTAGACAAACCTGCTAAAAATGCTCCTGGGGTATGAGGCCATGCAGATGCCACAGGAGAGGGCTCACAGTCCCATCCTGGCAGCCTGGAGCCTGGCACAGCCCCATTTAACCTTCCTGTCCACGGGGTTTGCAGCTGCAGCCAGGCTGCCACTGAGACTTTCTCTGATGCCTTCACCATCCAGGAGCTGGTGCAGGTGTCAGTCCCCTGCGACCACCCAGGTTCTGCCCACCTCCCCATAAATTGTGAAAAATGAGCGAGGTGAGAGCTAACATGGTTCCCTCCCACCAGGATAGTGTGGTCTGGGGTGGAAGTCTTCAGCTCTGAAAAAGAAGTGGATACAGGAATAGGAAAGGAAAGGATAAGAGTTTTCCAAGGATGGTAGAAAAGCAAATATGCTGTATCTGTGCAGATTTTAGCCAGCCCTCCTCCCTCAAGGTTAGGGGTGATTATTCTCAGTTCTACTTCCCTGCAAAGGAAACTGAGGCAGAAAGCACGGGGGGCAGCTGAGCTGTCATATTCCAGCGTGCCTATCACCCAGGTTCAAGCTCCATGTGCTCCTTTGTGTGTGTTTGTATTTACCCTCCCAGGGAAATGCAAGAGCAGCTCATTAAATAGTGTGACAAATAACTTCTGTCACTGTCGATTCCGTTGTTTGTGTCTCTAAAATGTTTGCGTGTGCTACTTTGGGATATACAGTCAGGCCCCATTGAGCACACGAATGGGCAAGTATTAGAGCTGAAAAGCAACACCTTGGATTTGCCATCTCTGCAACTCACTTAATTAAGGGATCTGTATCCAGAAAGCAGAAAATGCACATTTCTCATTACAAAAGGTGAAATTTCTGAAATCCATTAGATACACAGTAGGATAAAAATGTGCAAGGTTCCCACACACTGCTATGTCAATGCATCTTGTTGCTCTTCTATAATACCCCCTGCTATTCTGAGCAAAAATCTTTCAATGCATTTCTGCTGATGTGCCTCAAACCTCAGCTCTGACACTCTGCTAATCCCAGCCAGCCTTTCCTCAACATTTTTACAGTGCAGCCCCATACTGATGGGCTGCAACTTTTGCTATTCAAAGAAATAACAAAGATGAACCAGCTCCTTAAGTCCCACCTTCAAGGAACTGGGGCAAACCATCTAATAAATATCCCTATGGGGAAAAAATCCCCACAGAACTGTGTCACATGCTATATAACAGGCTTCAAAAAATTTCTCATAAACAGAAGGCTGCCCTAAGAACCTCAGCTATAAAATAAGGAGAAGGAGAACAGAGGAAATGCAGGGCATGAAAATAACTTAGATCCCAGCAGTACCTTGGGTATCCTCAGCACCCCAAGAGTTTATCAGACGTGGCTGTTATGGAGGTATGTCAGGAACTCAGCAGGGAGAGACTGAGGATGAGCCAGTACATGACTTTGATAGAGCTCTTTGATTGCTGCATGCCTCAGTTTCCCCAGGTCTTAAGCCACAGGAGTGCCAAGGAGGGGCATAAAGGACCATTTATGTACAAACTACTTTGCAAGCAACCTGGAAAGGAGAGATGGTAAAAAAGTACAGTTTCCACCTGAGGGGTTTCTGCACTGTTGTACCTCTGTATTTGAGAGCTGAAACCAGGGCTGCTTCCCATACGTGAAGATCTCCCAAAGGATCACCCCAAAGCTCCAGACATCACTCTCTGTTGTGAACTTCCTGTACATGATGCTCTCCGGAGGCATCCAACGGATAGGCAGCATGGTGTGTCCTCCAACCTGGGTGAGGGCAAAGGCACAAGGAAATGTGAGTGATGAGAGCCTTGAGGAAGGGGTCAGCCCCACATGATTTGGACAAACTCAGGGTCTCCCAGTGAGCCACATCAACAAGTAGCTGTGCAAAAAAGCTGGGCTGGCTACGGCCTCCCTGACCGCCCATGGGCTTACCCGCCAATCCCACCTGGTTAATGTGATGGATAAGGAGTGAAATGGATCAAGATAAATGATGTCCTCTCCTCCCAAAATGGTCTTGTAAAGAAATTAAGTGACAAAATGCCAAGAGTGTACTCCAGCCCTACAGTCTGATGAACCAGGAGGCAAGGCAAGAAATGGTGTTCAGTAAAGTATTGTACTGAGTTTTGCAGGACCTCAGTGCTCTGAGGCACCCACCAGAAATACAACGTGAGGTTTGTCCCTCTTCAGTAAGGTTTTCTAAAAGCCATGCACAGGCATCTGCATATCACCTAATCACATGAAAGATTTTGTGCTCATAAAACTGTGCTACAGGCTTTTTAAAAGACTGCTTTGAATATGTAAATGACTGCAGGACCGCACTGCAAACAGACGGTCTGTTTGTAAAGAACAGGCTCTTACAGGCAGGGATATGCCCAGCATTTAATGGAGGTAGGAAAGCCAGCCCCTTTGGAGAGTTTGGAAATGGAAAAGCCCATGGGCAAAGTCCCATTGGGGTAGTCAAGGTCTCTACCCTTCTCTAGGGCACATGAATCCAGCAGGTATGCAGCAGCTTTGCAGGATACATGCAAACTGTTTGGAAGCAGATGGATTTACCTTTGGATTCACTAAAGATTTCTAAACAAGTGTCTCTGAGCAGGACTAGTTTTCCTCTGTTCTGTCCTTCTACATAAGAAGCACCATCTGTGGGGAAATAGCTAATTGATAAGACCAGCCGTGCTGAAAGCAGTATGGTTGTGAGTCTCCAGCACTCGTTTCTGCTGAGGCTAAAGTGTCTAAGGTTTTAGTGGTGATGAGAAAGAGTGCTTTTTTGGTACTGCTTGGAAGACTGCTTGTCTCATTATGGACACCAAAAAAGCAAGTGCTAATAGCTTTGTAGTACTGCAACTGAATCAAACAGGCAGAAATCTCTCTGGTCCTATGACAGATCAGAGGAGAAGGTACCTGGTATCTAGGTTTCCAGCATATGTATGGCTATTCAAAATAATGAGATTGTTGCTCCTGCTTGGATGAAAACATTTCTTCTACAAACAAAAGCTCTCCTCTAAGCTGCCAGTTTTCTCAAGCTGCTACAGGTTTTTTTTACCTGATTAAAGCAGAACTAGCGTGGGGAAGGGTCAGTACAGAGACACTGCAGTGCTTGGAAGTGAGAAGGACAGTGCTGGGGAGGTGTGTTGGAATGGGTGTGAAATGGGTATGATGCTTAGCAGGTTTTCTGCACGGATGCTGTGAGTCAGATTTCCCTGGGGTTTGACAGAATTTGGACCCAGGCTTGAAGTGTGGTAGTCAGAGGTCTGCAAACCAGCCCTTTTTCTAACTCTGCAACAGCTTCTTCCTACAAAAAGAGAAGGGATTTTAAAGGTCTCAGGAACATCTTTCTTTCCTAAGTGCAGAGGTGTTCAGAACTGCGATGCATGAAGATAAAAAGCTCATTGCAGCTCTACATCTCCTATTTAGAAAAGGCTTGGCTGGTGTATTCTCAGCTTGCTGCTCTGAACTCCCAAGAATGTTCTCCTGTAATGGAAATGGAAATACGCTTTTGTTTGTTCCTTTGCAACTCTAGCTACAATTTTAGCTCTTTCCTACATTCCCAGCCTTTACAAGTTGCTTTCCCTTCCTGTGAAGGGCTCTGAAGAAAATGATATCGACAAAACAGGACACACATCAAACTCGATTGTTGCAAAAACTGCTTTGTACTAATGGTTATTTTGTTCTCCTTTTAGTAGCACTAACTCTTCCATTTTCCAGCAATCTCAAAATGAGAAGTATTGCAAAGCTCTCTACACTTGCAGCATCCTGAATCTTGCAGGATCATTGAGATTACAGGTAGTTCAAGGTATTGAGCATACTTAACTCCCTTTTGAACACGTCTTAAGGCAGTTCAGAATCTATGAACCAGGTCCTCAGCTAACACAAACAGTATTACAGCAGCTTTGTTTGAATGGGAGGGCCCTGATTTACACCACTTGAGAATCTGGACCTGAAAGCAGAAGAGAGAAGCCAGTAGTCCCATCTCAGTTCTAATAAGCTAAAATAAAGTCGAGGTCTTTGATCTCCTCTAGACGCATCCTGGTGAAGAACTGCCAGTCAAGTGACATACACAGTCAACAGTTGTCCCAAGAATATGAAGACACAGTCTTGATTTAGCTCATATGGTAGAGTCCAGGGACTGCCACAGCATTCCTCTCAGCCCTGTATGTCATGTGAGACATATCTTTTACTTAAAGTTAATCCAGTAATAATTAATAACTAAACTAATTTGGGGTGAAAAAAACTCCAAGCAACACCCAGAAATGCATGGATCCCAAAATCTGGCTCAGCTATGCTCATAGATAAGGAGTTATTCTTTGCAGAGGTATTCTTTGCATCTCAAACAAGGTGCCACATTTTTGAGAGGAGATGTTAAGTCTTGCACTTACTAGCTAGCTATAAGCACAACAGGCATCAAACAAACCGTACCATAAAACCACTCCAGTGCCTAGTTTAGCACATAAGGCTGACTTTACATTTTAAAGCATCACCTTTGACTATCCTGAACTGCTCCCCTTGCAAATGGATTAGGATTAAAATTCCCATTGAATAGATGAGAAAACAGATGCAGGAAGGCAGGGAAAGGCCCTGCTCTGAAGCTGTATTGTAAGTGAAGACTCAACTTAGTCTTCCTTGTCGGCAGTCAGTTGTACCCCGTTATTTGCTGATGTAGCAAGATTACTCAGAGCTGAGCACAGAGGGACTGTGCTACCGATGCCATAGGAAGCACAGTGTGTCCAGCGTGAGTGAAATCTTTTGCATAACAGGTAGTGGCTGTGATCTGTGTTATGTCAGCATAGATCTGCATGTGATTCCAACAGCTACATAATTCTACAGGACCAGCCATTGCCAAAAGCTTAAAAGCAAAGTGATGCTATTAAATCAGGATTAAAAAAAAAAAAAAGGGATGCTGTTTTTTTCTTTTGCAAAACCAGTTTACATGACATATCCTTGGCTCTGGAAAGAATCATTATCATGTCTTTAGAGAAAAGTTAAAAGTTTGCTTCAGTCAAGCCCCTGTTTGCTCAGAGCTGGGCCTGACAGGTTTCAGAAACAAGAGACGCTGCAGGACTGATGCTTGCCGGGAGCATTCTGCTTCTAAGTCTTTTCTAAAACAGTGGTGTTGTCTTCCCACCCCATGTTCTGCCATTCCCCCTGAGAGCCAGGGATGGATGGGCTTAGCCATCATGCAGGTTCATCTTCTAACAGCCCCTAAGGGTGATATGTCCTCAAGCAGTGGCATTGCAACATCTTCCCTGGAGACACTCCACAACCTGGAAGAGGGATTTGCTTTCAAGCAAATCAGGCAAGTAAATCCTCTTCTGTTCCTCCCTTTAAATCCTATGATGCTGCCAAGCTCACCCTTTCTCCTTGTTGTTTTAATGCTTCATAGACCCGCAGACTGGCCTCTTTATCCCATTGCCATGGCTGTCTAGCTTTGCTTGATATTTCTAGCTCTCTAACTTTCTCTCCCTAGATCTACTCCCCATGCCCACATTGACATGTTATTCCCACTGCTTTGCTCTTCCTGTTTGCAGTACTATACTGGTAATAAATAGAGCAATTGGTCCATATCCTCTGAGTGGCCAAAGTTTCCTTCTTCTCTCTCCATTTCAAGACCACAGTATCACCTACTCACTTCCATCCTCTTCTAATGAATATATCCAAGTGCATGACCTGATCTACAGTCACATGTTTCTGATACTCCAGGGCACCTGGCCTCTGCTCTGAAGTCTCATTACACATCCAAGCCTGTAGACTTGCAAGTTAACCAGCCACTCCCTTTGAGCAGCTTATTGCTGTATTAGATATGAACCTCAAGGAGTTGGGGGAGGTTCATGAAAGGCCAGCATTAATGGCCATTAGCAAGAGAGATAATTACTTAATGCTAGTACAGCACTTTGACGATGTAAAGCTATATAAGTAGTATTATAAAGCTCGAGGTTTGTCTGTTACCAAGGAAAGCTGGTGTCTGGGGAAAATATTCTCCTTGTCCCAGCTTTCTGAATGACATCCAGCTGCTTAGGAAGGGAAAAGATGACATGTTATCCCCAATGAGTTTGACAGTCCAGCAGCAGGTAGCGGAGCAGCAGTGTTCAGCGAAGACTGTGCAATATATCCACAGTTTGGGCCACTAACAGAGAAACCATGGAAATTAAAACCAGGGTAGGGCTGAAAAACCCTCATGAATACTTTGAACTGGTGGGAATCCAGATCCTAACATGTTAAAGGCAGCTCATGGTGGGCAGCCCTGTTTTCCCCCTCCTGGCTCACATACCAGCTCCAGGGCTATAGCCCAAATTAGCATTCAGAGGGGAGCTACTGAGCCATCCCCTCTGTGCTCACAGCTGAAAGTTTCTTCATGGATCTCAGCTAAGAATGGAATTTGGTCTCTGGCATACTATAAGGCTGTGTTTTATTTTCCTTTTTGTGCAGTTTCCTTCCAAACTTTGAAATAAAATAATTCGGAGATTTGACATCTGCTTTCCAAGGTCATTTGACAGCTTTCTTCCTGTTCCTGGCATACTTCAGGGAGGCTCTGCTCCTGCGTTGTGAAGGCCACAAGAACCACCATAGGTGTCTTCATATGGTGCAGCATTATTTGAATCCCCCTTTTATGTGCAGGAAACTGAGGCACTTGAGCTTGTGCAGAATCATGTAGCAGTAGTGGAGGCCTTGACACAATTTTTCTCCAGGAAAATCCACTCAACACTCAATCCATATGACCTGGTGATAAGACACACAGTCTCTGATTGCTATCTCTGTTCCTGCTGCTG